GGCTTTCTAGCGGTCTTCTTCGTGGTGGTCTTCTTGGTGGTGGTCTTCTTCGTGGTGGTCTTTTTAGTAGAGGCTTTCTTCGTGGAAGCCTTCTTTTTCAAAGTTGTTGGTTTGGATTTCTTCGCAACCGCGGGTTTCTTCGCGGCAACCCTCTGCCCAGCAGCAAGCTTGTATGACGCCTTCGCTTGAGAGACATGGCCAGAATCTACGAGAGCTTTGAGAGCCTTGTTCAAAGCAGCCTTGTTCTCGACACCAAAGTTTTGCTTAATGAAGCTGAGTATGGCCTGGCGACTCATTTTCTGGAACCCCTTGCATGTGGTGAGGGCCTGCTTGACCATAGCAGAATAGTTGGGATGAGCTCCAGATTTAATGCTAGTTTTGACAGTCATCGCGGAATGCTAATTGACGTTAGAGTGCTTAACGAACCCGAGTCTTCGAAGAAACTACCGAATGCATGTTCTGAAACAAATATGGTAAAACAGCGAAAAACACCTGATTGAGAAACGACAAACTCCTGCACACGGTTAGAAAGATGGCGTTGAGAAACGCCTTGAAATGGTCACAACTGCCAGCGGACCTTAGGCGGAAGTGAACTTGGTCACTGCTTTGGTTCCCTCGCTAACGGCGTGCTTAGCGAGTTCACCTGGAAGAACCAGGCGGATCGCAGTCTGAATCTCGCGGCTAGACAGAGTTCCTTTATTGCTATACTTGCAAAGTCGCCCAGCCTCGGAGACTATTCGGTCGAAGGTGTCGCTCACCAAGGAGTTCATGATCATCATGCTCTTCTTGGATATACCAGTCTTAGGATGCACTTGCTTCAACACCTTGAAAATATAGCTGTTGAAAGTCTCCTTCCTACCAGCTCTGCGCTTTCTATCGGTAGCAGGCTTAGTTGCGGTAGTGGTTTTCGGAGCCATGTTAAACTGAGAGTATTTTACTTGCGGGATAGTTTAAAAGTATCTCAGCAACGCCTCGTACTCTCCAGACGGTTCTGATGCAAATAACGCAAAAAATTCACTCTTGTAATATTGTGATTTCGAATTTTCCTCTTGAAATACTCGAGTATCAAACTTACATTGCTAAGT